ATTGTCTTAATCGTATTAAAATCGGAGTATTGTTGTCCATGTAAACGTACTGAATAACTTTATACACGGTGCACTTTCAGATTTGAAACTCTGCAGGATGTTTTCATTCACTTACAGCTGTGTTACACACTGCATGAAAGGTAATTTTCAAAAATCCATAATAGGGGCACTTCAATTAAAACAAGCATGCAATCTTTTGTTTGATCCAATACTGCTGTTTGTATGGACTTCTTTTCAGAGAATTCTGCTTATCTTATCAAATGATCCATCACATGCACAGGAAGCACCGAGTAGACTATGAACTTCGCAATGAGTTTTTATGAGAAACATAACTCAAAGATCAGCAAGCAGAAGTCTAGTGTGAAAGCAGAGCACAGTGATCACATGGGGACTCAGACCTTGCTGCCGAGGGTATCTTTTAACTGTTCCTCCAGCCTGTTCTTCAGGCCCTGGACACTCTCCAGCATCTGGCTCTTCTCTGCCAAGCTGCTCTCCAGCTGTTGTAAGAATCAACAGATTGGTCAACAAGTACAGACAACAACAAAACATTGATGATAATGACTAAAAATACTGTAGATAAAAAAATACTGTAAAAAGACTCCTATTATAACTACTACTTGTACCATATACCATGCAATGTAAACATTATTTATTATTATTTAATACATTATTGAGAAAAATGCACATCTCAAAAACTATTATTCAAAAAAAAAAAAATTTCAAATTCTTGACCCGCTTTATGACATTCAAGCCAAAAGGTAATAAAACTCAGCAGTCTGCCTTGAACTTCTGCCCTACCTGTTCCTTCTCACTCTTCACTCTTTCCAGTTCCGTTTTCAAGCTGGAAAAAGATGCTGTATGTTGGAAGACAAAAAAAAAAGCAAGGTCACATGCTGTTGCTGTGCATTGCATTAGTCAATGCATGGCTAGTTCTCCAATGACAAGAGTTAGTGCTGACTGAGCCAGAATGAAAATTTAAAAACTGTGACTTGACAATGAATTCAACATGACTTGAAAATCACAAGTAAATAGTTCTGGGTGTGTTTTATGAAGGTTCTCCTCAAGCTTGGACTACTGTATCTGCATTGTGTCACCTAAAGAACCCTTACAAGCAGTATTAAGGTTGCCTCTGAGCAGTGCTGGGGACTAACTAACTAACTGAAAGATATGTAGCTGATATTTCATTATTCAGTAGCATAAACATATGATGTACTGTTTCAAAACAGTGTAGCATTTGTAATTACTTTAATAAGTAACAAAGCCCTACAGTGTAGCTTAAAAAAATATAAATTGCAAGCAGGTAGTAATTAGTTAAATACTGTCTTTCATCACCATGTGTTTGACTTAATTACTGAAAAATTAGGGCTTTTCTAGTTGTATTTAGAGTAAATTATTATTAATATTTAAGTATTATTACTTAAATATTGTTTTTGTGCAAGATGGGTACTGCTAAAAAAAGAAGTTTTGAAACTGTGAAAAAAAAAATAAAAAAATGAATAAAAATAAATTTATGTCCCACCATAGTGGAACAAATCTTAACACCAAATGCTTTTTTCCCTTTTTTTTTTTTTACTTTCAATGTACTTGCCTACAAAAGACTAATTTGGCCATAATTGAACTGCTTTAAACCTAAGCTTGACAACAGTTACAAAGTAATGTCCACATGTATTCTGACAACATTTCAAATGCACACAAAAGAGTGTGGGGTGACATTTCTATTACGTCACGCACATTTGTAGGAGCATGACCACATCCCAAGTTGAATTTCTCCGAGCTGAACCCAACATCATTGAAGATATATTAGTATTAGTGTAGTACACAGCTAAATGAAGTAGTACGCCGTGATGTGGATGTGATAGAGCAGGTTCTGTACACACAGCTGTGTAATGGGTTAGAGTGTGTTAGGATGGCATCGGTGGTGCCACTATAGACAGACACGACCTAGACAAACAAACAGTCAGGCAGGGATTCATACCTTCCAGGATGTCTGAACACAAGTCACCAATGCAGGGAGAAGTGGAGGAGAAAAAGACAGTATTGAAATGCAAGTAGATAAATGTGTGCACTCCTCCGATTGAAGGAGCTTCACAAGCCCTTCAATATGTTTAAACGGTTTTGGATTTGGATCAGAAGTTGGATTTAGAGCCCGACCGATATATCGTTTAGCCGATATTATCGGCCGATATGAGCCTGTCGCAACGGCCATATCTCCATAACGGCGCGGCGAATCCGCACCAAATTCGGGGGATCCCTTCAGCCCGAGGAACCCTCTCGAACGCGAATCGAGTGTACGTCTCAAGGCCCTCTTTCGAATGAGACCACCCCCACGTCGATAGCCCCCGGGGTTCGGGAGTTACGGGAGGTTAAATTCGCGGTCCGGCGCCGACCGATCTAGCGATCCCGTGGGGCTACCGAGGCGCGGAGGGTGGCGTTCGAGAGGGCTCCTCAAGCTGAAGGGATCCCCCGAATTTGGTGGAGATCCGCCGGCGCGTTCGCGAGATAGTAACACCAGCCAACATTTTCACTTCAGTAAGGAGGTCTCTTGTTCAGACAGCAGCATTCAAGCGTTGTCTTATTCGACCGTAACTGCCCTGCGAAGTGGACTTCACATGATATTCCGCCATGATTCCAGCTCCAAGGGAACGTACACGTTACATTCAAAGGGTATTAAAGTGCGCGAGACGTGAATTTATATTGTATTTATTTACAGAGGTAGGGGAGAGCGGGGCACAAAGTAACACTTTTTGACTTTCTCAGTTTGTGTAAATCCACATGGGGTTCAGAATATATATATTTTTTTATCCACGATAATTTTACACTTGTCTAGTACAAATATGTTACACGTTACATTCAAAGGGCATTAAAGTGCGCGAGACGTGAATTTATATTTATTTACAGAGGTAAATTACTTCACACTTCTCTAGTAAGTTTCGTCTGTGTGTGAAGACAGTAGCGCAAATCTGTGAATGAATGTTCCAAAGTGAAATAAACTTTGAAATAAAAGTTGAATGGAATTGAATTAAACTTCAACTTTACTGTTCAGTTCACTGATGTCAGACTCATTTTGGACAATAAAGTTTATTGTTAAATTGTTAAATGCCCTGCCTCCATTACGTATCTTTGTCATGTCACATCAAGTGTTTGATCACCACATTTGAGTGATCATTGCAAAAAATGTGTTTATGTATATGTATATACTGTATTCTATATATAGTACCAGTCGAATGTTTGGACCCTCGAATGGGAAAGTGTCCAAACTTTTGGCCTTTTTTTTTTTACTCCCAAATATCGGTATCGGCCCCAAAAAACCCATATCGGTCAGGCTCTAGTTGGATTTGGTTACATTATTCCAAATCACTAAAGATTCACATTTCAAAGCCTCAGTGTAAGCCAGTGTAAACATTCAGTGCTGGTGAGAGCAGCTTTTGATCATTCAAGATAAGGGTGGGCGGTATAAACAATCTTATATCACGGAGACATTTCATAATGTACTTATTTTAGCATGAAATTCAACTGGAAAAGGTTTCTTTATTATCACATAACCATGAATTTTTAATCATCTAGTGAATGAAATTTAATTTTTCTTCCTTTTTTTTTATGAGAACCTGATAAAATCCTACTTCAAAAACATTTAGCATCATACAATTTTATTATATAAATATATTGAACTAAAAAGGCAGTGAATCAGTTGCTTAAAACTATATA